CTATGGGAGATGGTGAGAAGGGGGTGAGCCCAGGGGCCCTCTGTTTCGTCTCATTTTGTCCCAGCCCCTCTTGTGCCCACAGCTGAGCAGAGAGTCCCTTCTTTCCTTTACCCAATCCCTCATCCTTCAGGTCTCAGCTGAAACATCTCCATTGGGAAGCCTTCCAGGTCCCCCAGGTTGGGTGAGGCACCTCAGCTCTGGGCCCCCACAACACCCTGGCCTCCCTCCACTACAGAACTTACCAAGCTCTCTTATCCCAGAGTCCGGCCCTGGAAGAGTAACCCACAGCTGTGCTGACCAGGCGGGCATATAAGCAAATATTGGGTTGTCGGAAAAGTCATGACGCATTTTTGCAACGAAAAACATAGAAAAAATACGTCGTGACTTTTCCAACAACCCAACAGAATTTTGGGAGATCCGTGCTTGAGTAGAGATGTGTGCAAAGTATTATGGGAGTAGAGTGGAGGGGCAGGAATTAGTTCTGCCTTCAAAGGAGGAAACTGGGGAAGGTTTTGCAGAAGTTGGGACATTTGGGCTGGGCTGTGGAGGGTTGAGTAGGAGCCCACAAGGAAGGGATACTAACCTGGTATAGATAGGAGGGCAGCAAGGATTGGGGCACTTTTAAGTGATGTGTTTGGGGGTGTGGAGACTGAGGAAGAAGGGTGGGGGTGATGGGGGTAAGTTAGACCTGAGTGTGAAGGGCCTCGAGTACTGGGCTAAGGACTTTATACTAAGGTCGGGAAAATGAGTGTGGTGAGACAGACTCAGGTGTGGGCTTTAGGAAGCTGCTGTGGGCTAGTAGCAGTGTGGAGGCTGGATTGGGAGGTGCAGGGACTGGAGCCGGGGAGGAGGCTGCAGGTAGTCCTCCCTCCTGGCCCTTTGCCCTGACTCTCGTGTTCTCCAAATGCTCCGGTCCCAGGTCCTGCTCTGTTCTGCTCCATGCATCCATAGTTGTGGGAGGGGGATTCTTGGCCCTGGCAGGTCCCACCCAGAGGCCCCACCTAGAGGGTGGGAGTAGTAGGGCTGGAGGTCCCAGGCTGAGGCCGGTCACCCTCTGCAGGTGGGGCGCTGGGACCATGGCATCCTCCACATGAAGTACCCAGTGTGGCCTCGCTACAGTGCCTCCCTGCAGCCCGTGGTGGACAGCCGGCACCTGACAGTGGCCACGCTGGAAGAGCGGCCCTTTGTCATTGTGGAAAGCCCCGACCCTGGCACAGGCGGCTGCGTGCCCAACACTGTGCCCTGCCGCAGGCAGAGCAACCACACCTTCAGGTCTGCGAGAACACACGGGAGGCCCGGTGTGAGCCATGTGCTGCCGTGTGACAGCGGGTGTTGTGTGTGTGCTGTGCTTGGGCATGGGGGCGGGGTCCACGTGCCAGGCTGGGAGGAGCTGCGAGCTCTGACTCCTGGTGGTCTCTTGGTGGCAGCAGCGGTGACACAGCCCCCTATACCAAGCTCTGCTGTAAGGGCTTCTGCATTGACATCCTCAAGAAGCTGGCCAAGGTGGTCAAGTTTTCCTATGACCTGTACCTGGTGACCAACGGCAAGCACGGCAAGAGGGTGCGCGGCGTGTGGAACGGCATGATCGGGGAGGTAGGCCTGCCCTCAAGGTCCGCCTGAGCCCGCCCTCCAGCCCGCCTGCGGCCAGGGTCACTTAGCCAGCCCAGCTGTCCCTAAGGCATTTCCTCTTGTGCTGGGGACCAGTCAGAGTGGGATCCAGGCCCAGCTCCTAGGGGTCTCCCAGCTGACAGAGGAGACTGGACTGTCACCGGTGATGCCCCCTGGGGTGGTCAGCACTGAAAATGGAACTCTGAGGACCCGCGGTGGGAGGAACTGAGTCAGCAGGTGGATGCTGGATGGGGTGCCAGGAGGAGACTGGGGAGAGTGCTCCAGCCTGTGGGAGCCCCTCTTCCAACCTGGGCTGGACCCCCATGGTCCCCAGGTGTACTACAAGCGGGCAGACATGGCCATCGGCTCCCTCACTATCAACGAGGAGCGCTCCGAGATCGTGGACTTCTCCGTGCCCTTCGTGGAGACGGGCATCAGTGTGATGGTGGCTCGCAGCAATGGCACCGTGTCCCCCTCAGCTTTTCTGGGTGCGGCTCGGGTGGGCAGGGGTGGCTCTGGGGCAGAGGGACCCACGACATGGATGTGAGGAGCCTGGGTCGAGATGGGGAGCTTGGGGTGGGCCCTCAGAGGGCAAGCACAGCAGCCTTGCGTGCCTCTGAGCCTGGGTGTTGAGTAAGGGTGGGGGATGGAGGAGGAACAGGATAAATGGTGACGCCATCGTGAGGGACGGGAGGCCAGGAAGGCGGGCTGGCATCAGGACGAGCCTAGTGGGCTGGGCAGCAGAACAGGGGGAGACGCTCCTTGGGGAATCGGGGGAGCCCACCCAGAGCGTGGCAAATGGAGCTAGTTTCTGACTTGATTAGGAAATCAACATTTGTAGGGCAGCCCCCTGAGCCAGGCCCCACAATAGGTCCTGGTCTTTGCAGAGCGTCCAGTCGGGAGGTCAGGTGGGACTTGCAGTGTGGGGTTGACAGAGGGCGGTGAGGAAGGCCAGCCTCTC